AGCTGCTCATGCGCCTGCTGCCCTTTCACCCTTGCTGCAGGGCAGATTTCACCCTTTGCAGCCCCCAGCCAGGCTCTCTGTCACCCTTGGCATTGGCCACTGGTGCTGCTGGGAAGACCATGTAGGAAAGAGGCGCTTCCCTGAAAGTGTGTGTACAGCTAGTGCTCTGGGAAGGCTTTAATTCCTGGTGTCCTCTGTCACTGTGTAGACCCGGCCATGGATGCCCTGCAGAGGACGCAAGCTCCCATGTGGGGCTTGGGCCCTATTCTGGCAGGTTCTCATGCTCCCAGGCTGCATCATCACAGGCAGGAGAGGACAGTGCCCTGTGAGCCACAAGTGCTTTGCCAAGAGCATCCTGAGGGGATCCTGGCCAGAGGAGGTGTTTGGGACAGGGAGCCAGCTGTGAGCCAGGCTGCCTTGAGGTGTTGCCTGGTGTCCAGGTGGGCTCAGGGGGCACAGGAGGCTGCTGCTCTCCCCATGACCAAAGACCTCTCTATGCATTTCTCCCTCCTTCCCTGCCTTCCTGAGGCAAGGGTGAAGCCCCCCGTGGGGAGATGCAGTTGGTTTGGTGATGTGCAGTCAGTGCCAGTGGTGGAGCTGTTAGTGTGTGGCATCACTCCGAATGCAGGGATCCTCTTTACTTCTGCTGATTTGGGGCACCTGGAAGGTGCCAATATGGGATTTTTTGCCCAGCCCTCAGCCGCAGGAGCCCACAAGTAAGGGGTGCCCAGTGGCAGGCGGCTTTGCTCGCCACTTTTTTTGCTTTTTGTTTGGGTTTTTTTGAACTTTCTTTTGGAATATTTCCGCGTTTAGCACATTTTACTTGAAATTACCTCGTTTTTTTGTGACCTCATGAGCTTTTATTGATTTGGGAGGGACAGGGGGTGGCATGGCTGGGGTGCACCAGCCACGTGCCCAGCATTGGTGGTGGAGAGGTGGTGGGACAGTGGTGTCCCTGCCAGCCTCCTGTTGTGCATTATCCTTACCAAAACTGGTATTTTTTGCCTGGCCCCATGGGGCTGGGGGTGTTTGTTCTGAAGCTACCTCTTGTGTTTGTTTTTGTTGTGTTTCTCCTGCGCAGCCGTGGGCTTGGTGGTTCCATCCCGTGGCTCTTTTTTTTGTCATTTTGCTGCGTTTGGGTGAAAAGGGGGGAAAAGGGGCTGGGGAGGGGGGGGGGAACAGTGTCTGGATACAGTTTGGAGGGACACTGATGGCCCCTCTGGGTTTGGGGTGCTCTTCCCACCTCTCCTGGTGCCAAGCAGGGATACGGCTGTGGGAGCAGCATCCTCCCTTGTGCCCCAGTCCGGCTTTGCACGTGTGTGTACGCCTCTGCGCATGGGAGCGTTGCTGCTCTGCGCAGGGTGGACACCGCTGCTGTACAATCTGGGATGTGACTGTGGAGAACGGCTTGTTTAATTGTTGTGCCTAAGAAAAAAACAGAAAAACATTAAAAAAAGAAAACAGTTCTTTCACACAGAAAGTTGCTGCAATTTTTGGCGTGTGCACGGCAGGTCCCCGTGGTGTCCTGGCACTGCCAGACATGGGTGCCACGGAGCACGTGGCCGAGCTCATGTGGCTTTTTTTTTTTTTTTTTGCTTTAACCTCCCCTTCCATCTCACCATCCCTCTCCCTCAGAGACACAGCCCCCACTGCAACAGTGTTGGGGTCAGCGTTGGAGTGATGCTGCTGTATCCCGGGCGCACGTCCCCGCACTGTTGGCTGTGGCGCAGCCCCCGCCACCCCTCCATATATATATATATAAGTATATATATGTGTATCATAGCAGTGAGGACCAAGCGCCGCACGGGGCCCCGTGGTCCCGGGTTCCCTCTCCCCTGGCTTGTTGTCAGTGTTGTGAGCGCCCGCCTGCCCGTCCCGTTGCTCTGTGTTGCCGCTCGTGGTTCGGGTCCGTCGCTGTCCTCGTTCCGTCTACCTCAGCACCTCTCTGAGCCCGGGCGCAGAAGGTGCCCAAGTTCCCCTTTGGTTTTCTCAGAGTATCTATCGGCTCCTATTTTTTGTACGACTTTTCCTGTCTCACCGTTTGCTCCCCTGCGGTTCTGCTTGCGAGTCCTCTTTCTGTCCTCTAGCCACAGATGCCGTTAGCTAAAAGTTTCCTGAAAAATAAAGAAAAAGAAAAAAAAAAAAAAAACCCAGTTGTGGTGTCTCCTAGTTGCAGCTCTCTGCATCTGCCTTCGTTCTGTGTAGATTCAGATGCATTTCTTTGTAAGACTTCAGTGTTTCTGACAGAGGAAAAAAAAAAAGACAAAAAAAAAAAAGAAGAAGAATATACTGCTGCAGGTTTTTTTCTCTCCATGTGTCACTAAGTGAAGTTCGTGCCTTCTATAGCAAAGAGAATATTTTTTACATCCTACTAACGGTAGATTTTTTTGTAGTGAACATTTTTTGTATTTTTATTTATAAGTCTCATAAGGAAAATAGCAATGTTCAGTTGTATACCTTGAATCTGCAGTTAGAAAACAAAAAAACAACCAATAAAGTTAATTCTGTTGTCTCAGCCTGCTGTCTCCCATTCCTGTGCCAGTCAAGAGGAGGAGGAGGAGGAAGAGGAGGAGGTGGAGGAAGGATGCATTCCACCAGCTTGGGGTGAGCCGAGTGGTGAGTTTGGGGGTGCCTGCTCTGCGGGGGAAGTTGAGGAGGTCCTATCCCTAAACCAGCCCCAGGGAGTGGGGGGGTCTCCCTGGACTGTCAGTGTTCCCATGGGCAGGGAGCATCCACAGCACGCTGCCCGTGCTGCCGCCTGCCCATGTGGCTCACCAGGGAGCAGAGCAAGTTTGCCTCAATGAAAGTGAACTCGTTCATTTAAACCTGCCTGCAGAGCCGTCCGGCCCCCCGCTGTGTTAATTATCCTGTAGTTCCCGACTGATTGCTGTACACTAAGCTTAAGCCCTCCTTTATTTATTTACTGACTACATTAACGGCAGCGCCTGCTCTCCTTTTGTGCTGTGGCAAACCGCACAACACCGCAGGCTGCAGCTGGGCCAAGCGGGTGCTGCCGGCACCACCCAGCCGTGCCTGTGCCCAACGCGTGCTGCCCACCGCCGGCCTTGGCCTCGTGGTGCTGTTAGACATTTGTTACAGCACAGCTGGAGTCGCCAAGTGCAGAGCATCGTTTCGTTTTTCCCAGGGGTGGATGGCATGTGCCGGTGTCAAGGCCAGGCTCATGCCCTGCCCCAGTATTTCCCAGCAGGTTTGAGGGGCTGTGTGTCCATTCCAAGGTCCTGATGGTAGTCCTGCCTCCCCCAGTCTCCCCAGCACAGCCTCCCAGGAAGGCTTTGGGCAAGTAGTGGGGAACTTTGGTCCAGGTTCAGGCAAGCAGAGGTGGTCCTGCTGTGAGCAACCTGTGGGCTGCAGCGCCCCGGGAAAAGGGGGGCGAAGCCCCTCTCCAGCGTTCAGCCTGGCACAAAGGCGTTGTTATAATAACGGGGAAATCGCGGTAGGACCGGGCCTTTGTGTGCACGCTCGCACAGCAGCTGGGAGCGATTATGCCGCAACAATGTTCTGTTCCATCAACATTATGTCCTCATTAAACCTTTATTAGGAGATTAGATTCAGATTTATTGATTTTTTTTTTTATTTTTTTTTTTTAAAGAGGAAAATCCAGGCTTCTCTCAGATGCCTGGAACTTTTTCCCACATGCAGCACTTCCCAAAGTAGCAAGAGGGCAAAGGGAGAATCTATCTTTCCTCCAGCATGGGCAGCCTGTCCTTCCAGGGAAAAGGACTGCTGAGGTGCTTGAGGGGGTTAGGTTGGGTGCACGACGGCTTCCTAGCACAGGGAGGACAAAGATAAGGACCAAAACATTCCATGGGATACAGCAGCACAGGTGAGCATCTTGCAGTGCAGCCCTGGGGGACATCGCGGTTGCGGTGGGCAGGACAGGGATGGCAAGGCTGGCTCAGGAGTCTTGCTGCCCAGTACCCTCATCAAACACATGGGTTGGGTGGCATCGCACACCCGGGTCAATGGCCCCATTGGATTTGTCTGTTGGAGCGTTTGATGTTACATGAAGGCAGCTCATTCCAGAGGGTGTTAATTGCCCGCTGCACTGATCAGGTCTGTAGCACCATCGATCTCAGCAGGATCAATGGGCTGATTTAGTGTCTCACGAACTCTTTAACTGGACACCTCATCAATAGGCAGCCACTTACAGACCATCAGCGCATTAGTGCGGGCCAGCACTGGCAGGAGCCCACTCCACCCATCCTCAGGCCCCGTCACTCAGAGGTAAGTTTTCCTGCAGGTGATGGCTCTGGGATGGTGAGTGGGAGTCTTGCTCTGGGGCTGGTGGGTTTGAGGGCAAATGTTGGAGGTCCAGGTGGTATCGACCCACCTGTCCTCCATCACCTGCAGGCCCATATGCAGAGATGCTCCTAGAGCATGGGATGGGCCCTTATGGCATCTGTAGCACTTTCCTCTCCTCTTCGCCTTGTGCTTCTGTCCTGGCAGGAGCAGATCGATAGCGAGAGCTGGACACCTACTGCAGGTGTGATGGCAGTCCTGCCCCGCGCATCTCTGCTGGTACCGCGTGCTCTCGGAGTCAGTCCCGCTGACATCCCGTCTGGCCGCGGCCGGACACTGCGTCTCTCCCACTTTGCTAAAACTCCTGAGCACAAGCGTGGTAGGGATCTGCTGGGCAGGTGTGCCCGGGGGCCGGGGTAGGGAATAAAGGCAGCAGGCGGGGTGAGGGGCAGGGGAGCCGAGGACAGCGATGCCCCTGGGGCGCTGGGGATCCCCCGATGCTGGGCCGGGCGGCGGGGCCGCTGTCCGCGGTGCTGAAGTCGCGGCCGTGGCCGGGCCGGGCCGTGGGCTCTCCCGGGGTTGGCAGGGGAAGCCTGGAGAGAGGTTTGGGCAGGGTCATGGGGTCCGGGGGGCTCCTGCTCAGCTCCGCCTTCCCGCTGCGGAGCTGAGGGACGTGAGGGATGCGCCCGTCTGGGTCGACAGACACTGGCGAATCCCAGAGCCAGGGAGAACCCGCCAGAGCGAGGTCCCCCGTCCCCCGCTCTGAATAATGGGCACTGCTCAGGCATCCCTCCACACCGACCAGAGGGTGCCCAGAGTGATGCTGTAAGCCAGGACGGCTGCCAAGTACACCCGGAACAGCAGGACATCCAACACGTAGCCCACTTGCAGCCATTCACGGGCGACATCACGGAATTCCTCCCGTTTTTCCAGGAGCTGGCGGATAGCCGTGGTCTCGTGCAGGACCTCCTGCAGCACTCCCGAGCCCTCCGGCCGGCCAGTAAAGGCCAGTGCAGACCTCGTGCCCCCCACTGCCCCGCACTCCCGGGGGTCCTCACAGACATAGGGGGTCGGCTTGGCTGAGAGATCAAGAGAAGCAAATGTGAAAAACCTGCTTAGATGGGGAACTGGGATTTGTGAGGGTGAACTAGGCACCCAGTCCACCATACAAAGAATGGTTTTGTAAGTGTAAGAGCATCTAGACTCCTTCAGTTCCCACAGACCCTCTCTGTGCAACCCTTACCTGTGCTGTCATTGTTCTCCACCTGCCTGGAGGTGTCCAAGCTTTGTGTCCTGCTTTGGCTGAATGTCTTCCTGTCCCGGATACAGAGCAGGATGGTGGCTCTTTCCAGCAGCAGGTGTTTCACCCACTCAGGGACGTGGGGTTGCAGGTCTTGCTTGTGCACTAGGCGCACAATCAGGATGGTCTCTGTCAGGCTGATGACGAGCAGTGCCATGCACACCACAAAGTAGATGCCTGCAGAGACATCAGTGAGGTGAGTGACCTGCAAAAGCTCGTGCCCAGAGCACGGGCCCAAGCAAATCCTTCCTACTCAACTCTCAGGGCCCTGTGGTCTCTGCCCATGACTGCCATGGCAGAATCACCATACCTATCAACGGGGTGCCGACGGCAGTAGCTGGCAATGTGTCGGATACAATAATGAGGAAAACCGAGTAGCCCAGCAGGAGAGTGATCTTGAAAGAGACCCTCTCACCACTGTGGGGAGGTAGGTAGAAGCCCACAATGTCCATAACCATCAGGAATATGCTGGGGAGCAGCAGGCTGACGGTATAGAAGAGGGGGCGTCTCCGGATGACTACCTGCAGGACAGAGACAGACAAGGCCGTGAAGGGTCGAAACGATGCCTTCAGCTGGTGTGGCTCTTTGCCAAGGCAGGTGAGGATGATGGGGGCACTAAGGTGAGACAGAGGAAGGGCTCACTAGCAGGAGCCTCCCACCTGCAGGCAGGAGCTGCAGCACAGAGCAGAGACAGGGATGGGGCAAGTCCCTTCCCTCGTGCCACATCCCCAAGAAACACGGTGTCCAAAGGCTCTTACGTAGAACTTCATTTCAGCATAGCTGTCACTGCTCTTGACGCTGAACTCCTGGAAGTGGCTGAGGATGTAGAGCAGCTCCCACTCGCCCTGGTTCATGAAGACACTTCGGTCGAACTTGACGAGCTCTGGCTGACGCCACAGCGAGAGGTTGATATCACGAACTGGGGGGGCAGAGGAGAGGTGAGAACTAGGGGTACCCTGCCCAAAGCCCGGCAACTGTCGGCACCTCCACACCAGGCTGCGTGCCTGCCCTCCCTGCACGCTTCCCCGATCCGCTGGGGCCATCTAGAGGGACGAGTTGCCCTCTGCACGGAACTCCGGCCCAGCAGAGGTCCTGCCCGCTCCCCCGAGTCCCCTCCCCACGGGCGTCCCGGCACTCACTGTGGTGCAGCCAGCTGGTGAAGGTGAGAGAGCAGTTCTGGACGTCGAAGGGGAAGTTGTAGATGTCCAGGCTGCAGGCAGTCATCACCTGGATGGGTTTGAGGTTCTGCACCTCCCCGTGATGGCTGACGTAAACGTAGGGAACATGTGGGGACTTTCCAACATCCACACTGAGGGACATGAGGGACAAAGATGTGGGCTGGAGAGAACTCTGGGCAGGGATTCCTTCTGCCAGGTGGCATTTCACGGGGGAACTGCCCAAGAGCCAGGGATTTTCCCCCTGTTCTGCTTTTCTGGCAATACCCTTGCAGGCATTTCTGCCTCACATCACCTCTGCACTGCCCAGACTGCTTCCTTCTCCCAGCCTGAGAAGTGTCTATGTCATTGTCCCAGAGCCCTCTGGAGGCACTGGGAACACCTTAAACCCCCACAGAGTGGGAAGGACACCAGAGAGCTCCATGGAAAGGGCCAGCAGCTCTGCAGCTGCCCTTGCATTGTACTGTCTTCACAAAGCCTTTCCCCTGATATCTGGATCTCACCCCCAGCACAGTGAGGGTAATTACTGACGGTCGTGGTTAGCCAGCATTGGAAATGGCCCAGCTGCTGAGCCAATCCCCATCTGCAGCTCCCCGATGTGGGGAGGCTGCCAGCTCTGTGCCAGGAATACAAAGCATGGGACAGTACGTGCCCATGGTAGGTGAGGGAGTTCCAGTCCCGGTCTATTCTCCCTTGAGACTTTGGCTGCACTCACAACTCGTTGATGAGGATGTCGGGCACCCAGATGCTCTCTACGGGGAGGGAGATCTGCGTCAGGTTGTCGAAGTGAGCTGGGTCCCACTTGAGGAACTCATCTGTCCAGTGCTGGGGACAATGGAGAGGGGACTCGGTGGGTGAAGTCCTTCCACTCTGCCAGCACACAGACCCCAGGCTAACAGCAAGCAAGCTCCCCATGGGAGGGAGGAAAGACTTATCCTTCAGCTTGCACAACACCCAACAGTGCAAAACAGGGAGCGCGAAAGCTGAGCCTTAAGGTTCATGAGCTACAGAGGTTTTGCCAGCCCCCAGAATGTGCTTCCTCTCTCACTGCTCTCCTTCAGGACTGCACACTTCTCTCACAGGAAAACATGGGGGTTTGGGGGTGCTTGACCCCTAGGGGGGCCAGCAAGGAAGTGGCAAGGTTTCATGGCTACTCACCTGCCTGTACCAGATGTAGGTGGTCAGCACCTGGTTCTTCTCATCCTGTAGGAAGATGAGGATGGTGTCAGAATGGGGGCACTGACAGTCAGGAAGATGGGCAGAGCATGCTGGGAGGATGTTGCAGGCCAGGTACCATTCCCCTCCCTGCGGACACACACGGAATGGGAGCAGAGGACTCACCACACTGAGGATGGCATAGACCATGAGGTCGATGGCCACGTTAGTGGTCGTTCGCCAGTCCCGCACAGGCCGGGTGCCTTTCTGGTAGTGCGCCAGGAGGTAGTGGGCCAGGCGTTGCAGGGCGGGCTCGGAGGGCTCTGGCATCCTTCCCCCACGCTGGGTACCTGCTCAGCAGAGGGAGAAAGGGAGGGAGTGAGGGAGGCTGCTCGCACTGGGGCAGCGGCTGCCATCACCCTGGGGTGTGCCATGCGCTGCAGGATGCTGCCAGCTGCCTGCTCTCACTTACCAGTTGGGGTTTCCCATCCAACCTAAATAGGAGCATCCTGATGGAGAACAAGCCTGGACACCAGAACCATCACCTAATATGTTACTGACATCCTGTGCTGTGCAGGTTGTCAGCGCTGTGATCTTCCCCAGCCTCAGAGGGCACAGCTGCCAGCCCTCACCTCTCTGGACAAGTGCCAGGTCAGCAGCAGCAGGGAGCCACAAGGGACACACTGCCCCTGGGTAAGTTTCATGCCATGCACTCCCTACAGGGGCATTTCTTTGCTCAGCAGGTGGAGGTGATGAAGGCTAGAGATGAACCAGGATTCATTTATTAGGTATCTTGGTGTTTGCTTCCTGTGAAAACACTCCCTTCACTGGTGCCAGCAGCATCAACCAAGGGCAAATTGCTTTCAGCACCGTGTCCTCACTGCCAGGCAGCTGGAACACCACAGCTGGGCCAGGACAGCAGTGCTACGCTTGTGGCTGTGCTCTGCAGCACACCCAGCCTCAGAGTCCAATTCCAACATAATGGAAGAGACTAATTGGAATAGATCTATGGGAACTTGGGAAAAGCTGCTGGAAGGGAATTTTAATCTGTATTATAAGGTAAAAAAATAAAAAGCAGCAGCCTCAGCCCCTCTGACATTGCTCATGAGTGGTAATACTGGGGAGCCAGCCGGGTGCCTGATGCTTGCCCAGGCAGGCATGAACTAACAGAGGCAGTGAGATGGGGGAGAGGCAAAACTTAGGGTGAGGGAACTTAGGGTGATACAGGCGCTGCCATCACCACGGCTTGGGCCAAGTGGCCTTTCTGGCTGCAGCTGGTGGCAGCTGGCTCACGCTTGCACTCCTCCTTGCTCCTTCTTCTCCTCACATCCACGCCACCTATATCTGCATCAGGATGCTTTGGCAGCAGGGAAATGGCTTTGCAGAGGGAGGACTGGGCTGGGTTCCCCTCAGATGCTTTTTGGTTGTGCTGACAACTCACCTCATGCAACTCAGCACAACCCTGGCACAGCCCTAACACAGGGGGATCTGTCTGCACAGCCCTTCCTGACTCCTGGTCAGCATTGCTAGGGTGAGAGTATCACTGTTCCCACTCCTTTTCTGCCACCTGTGATGTGCTAATGGTGGGAGAAGGTTTGGGAGTTGGGTGACAGGAGCTACATGACCTATCCAGACATTTGAGTCACTAGCCCGTTGAACACTTTCAGCTGGGCTGGTGCAAAGCAGCTCAAGGATTTTTGCGCTATTTCCCAGGAATGTTAGATGAGAAAATAATAATGGATTAACAAGGAAAAATGTTGGCCATCAATTTTGCACTGCAGAGTTGCAATTACAAACGACAGGCACAGCATCGTGCCCAAAACCCAGCTCTAGGTTATGAGGGACTAAACATTATATTGGAGAAAGCCCTTCATCGGGCAGGGGGCTCAGGCAGCATCTCTCAGGCAGTGGAGTGCTGGCAGGAGACCCCCATGCCTTTCTCTGTCCTTAGGGCTGGCTCTTGGCACAGCTCGAGTACCTCAAGATCCTGCAGTTATGAACCCACAGAGCAGAGCTGGGTTCTAAGGCTACGTTGCCTTTCTGCCGATGTTACCCCGGCAGGATGCGCCTCCAGGCTCTACACCGGAGCTCTCCCAGGTATGTCACTTCCGAATAGGGAATGAAGGTTTCCCTAAAGAGCAGCCTTTGCCTGCCACGCAGCACGGTTCTAGGAAGGTGCTGTTCCGTGCCAGGAGCACCCCGCTCTGCCTCAGCTCCCCAGCCCTGCCCATGGGTCCCTCACCTTACCTGGGCTCTGTAGCGTCGAGGCCAGCGGCAGCAGGGCCAGGAGCACCCCGAGAGCCGTGGGCACCATGGATCCGCCGGCTCGGCGGAGCACTGAGCGGAGCAGGGAGGCAGGCGGCACTTGTGTGGCTTTCCCCCCGCCGTCGGGTTTTTGAGAACGCCCAATTAATCTCGCGATCAGCCTCTCCCTCTGCATCAAGTTTCAGGCTGGGAGGATGCGAGTGGGGCCCACCCAGCTATCCCCCCACCCCCGCCCAGCTTCCAAAGAGCTTCCCCGTCCTCTGCCCGGGTGCCTGCTTGTGCCAAAGCGGGTTTCGGGGTACGAGCATCATGCCCATGTGCAGTGGGGGGCACGATGGGGGCAGGGGGTCCTGCAGGTGCCAGGGCTGCTCCAGGAGATCCTCAGCAGCTGGAAAGACGGCAAAACCCTCTGAGAGGCAGGGGAGAGGAGGCTGTCCAGGGATGTGGTACTGACACAAGGTGGGTTCCCATCAGCAAGGGAGAGGGGAGCTCTGCACGTACCGGGCTCCCCTTCACACCCTGCGGCAGGTGGGTCTGTCTCACTGACAGCAGCTCTGACAGTCGCAGGTGGGGGCAGCATGTGCAGCCAGCCTTTGGCACCCCTGCCTGGGGCAGCAGCTTTCCCCCAGCCCCTCTGATCTGCACACTGGGGTCCGTTTGCACCGCAGAAATTTACATTTGCTGTAAATGCAAACAAGACTAGAAGCAAAGCCTGGTCAGGTATTATCGAGAGTCAAAAGACCCTCGGTGTCCACCCGTGTGTGTGAGTGCCCTGCTCAGGATGCACATTCATCCCTCCATGTCACAGCATCATAGCCTTGGGCTGGGCAGTGACCCCCTGCCTGGCAGGGGAGCTTCCCCTCGACCCTAAGCCACTATAATCTTCTGTATTCCTGTACGTCTACGTTGTGGTTGTGTGTGTTGCAGGTGCCTATGCCCCCGCAAAGCTGCCAGGTGCTGGAAATCCTGGGGAAGCGGTGGGCAGGGACCAAAGCCTGCGGCAGTGGTGTAGAGCAAATTGCATCAGATGCCGGCATGGAGTCACTTAAACGAGATAAGAATTAGTGCGGGGCCCTGATGAACTCCCCCTTGGCTGCCAACAGCGGTGTCAGGAAGAGAGCGAGAGCAGAGCCGGGGCTAATTTGATTTCTCAGCTCCGTTAGTGGCTGGCAAGTCACCTCCCAGGGAGCGCCAGCAGCTCATAGCGCTCTCCCCTTATTGAATCTGGGTAATGAAAATCACGGGCAGCGCCACCGTGGTGCTGGAGACTTTGCCCTGCTCTGCCCCCTCTCCTCCAGCCTCCTGCAGCTGCAGCCGGCAGGATGAGGCCAAGGGGGCGTGGGCTGCTCCACTGGAGCCTCTGCTGCAGCATCATTAACTCTGAATTTTCTCCCTTGGGTTTTACATCTTCATCTTAAAGAGATTTTAATGTAGTTCCTATCAGCCCTCCTGTTATGGGATATCTAATTAGCGTGATCTACTGTAGCCTCGTGTTCTGCGCGCACGCAGGGGGCTCTTGTGGGACACTTTGTGGGACGGCTGATATCAATCGGCAGCACCCAGATCAGATTTACTTTCCGAAATAGCATAATGGGATTTTATTAGCCCTGTAATCTGCTGCACGGTAATTGCTTTTCTGGGAATCGAAGTGCTCAGTGCCTGGGGCTTCCCACAGCTCAGTCCTGCATCCTGTCCAGGCTCCACTGCAGCCAGGCACAGCAGCATCTCTGCATCGGGATGGGTGGGCACCCAGGCCTTGCTCCTGGAGCAGCCATGCTGCAAGCAGGTTCCCTGGCTGGGCAAGCAGGTATTTAGCCCAGAGCAGAAATCTCAGAGGCTGGGGAGAGCACAGGGACACAAGCACAAGATCACCAACATGTGATGGCACAAGTGATGCTCTGCATTCCCTCCTCACTCCAATCTGACCTCATCACAAGTCCTGGGTGCTCAGCATTATGCACTATATTCCTCCAGCGGCTGCCACCCCATGCCATGGAACGTGCTGGGGGCTGTTGAGCTGTGGCAGGAGCGTGGCTGGGCTCTGCACAGGATGGGGTGTTGTAGCCAGGCTGGGGACCACAGTGGGAACAGGGAGGGAGGCCTCAATTGTGGTGCTTGCTGGTATGGAGTGGGCAGGAGAGGGAAACAGCTCTCCTTCAGGCTGCCAGTGCTCGCCTTTCAGAGCGCGTTTGGAGCGTCAAAAACAATAAAGCATCAGCAAGGAGCCCTGGCAGCACAGCTGCCTGATGGCCCCGGCCCCATCACGAGCCCGAGGCCGCCCATTACGGAGCCTCACACTCCCCGAATTGCATGTCTGCTATGATTTAACGCTGCGAGACATGAAATAAACACCACAGGCAGGCAGGGCTGCCGGCATGGGCACGACCAGGCTCACAACAGCCCCTGCTCCCATGGGGCCCTGCACCAGGAACAGTGATCGTCTGGGATGCTTGGGCTTGCTTGCATTCTTGGGTCCCTGCAAAGGGCCAGGGGGACACACAGGATCTCCCCTCTGGCACTCACCTTGTGCAGCTCCAAGACCAAAGCACAGACCAAATGGAGTGAACAGTTGCTCAGTGTGGTGCCCTTGGCTAATTTAATTTAATTTAGGGAAGCTGCTAGCTTTGTCCCATGTGTGCAAACTGCATGGTCCTTGGAGAAGCCAAAAATTGCCCATTCCAGATACCAAGCCCGTGCTCACCCCAGTGAAGGAGCCCTATGCTTTTACATCCCCCAGAGAAGGGATGGGAACACCTTCCTTTCAAGTCCTCTCTTTCATCAGACACCCTTCAGGTGTTTGCAGTATTCTACCATTGTCTCACTACCACTAAAGCCAGGTAATAATAAGTACATGAAGGTATTTGGAGCCCATTGCTGTTAATGGAGATGTGGCTGATACGGAGTGGGACAGCAGCTATGTGTCACAGGCTGAGCGCCATCCAAGATCAGGCAAGAATTGCCTTGCTGAGAGCAGACCCAGCTGTTTTGTCTTTTCCTTTTTCCTTTTATTTTTGAAGGAGACCTATGCTAGAGGCTCACTGGGTGGGAGAGAGGCAGTGGGCTCCAGAGCTGTTGTGACCATGTGCTGCCACCTTGGAAGAGTCCCCATCCCCAAGGCAGGTTTGCGGCAGGGATTGTGCACGTGATGACCGCCTCGATGTAAAAGCCTTGTGCTTGAAAAAGTCTTGCAGAAAAGTCTTCTGCCTCTTGTTTCTGTTGAAATTCAATCCATGGAGGACTGTGGCAGTGCTGGAGAGATCAGACATGCTGCAGTGTGTGGAAACAGCCCTGGAGGGGACAGGGACAAGAGACAGTCCACTCAGGTTTGGGGGGGGTTTTATGTTTTTAAAGCACTTACTGCTTCCTTTTGCTAAGTCAAGGCTGTATGGAAGGCTCTCAGGACATGGGAGGAAAGGGCATGTCTGCAGCTTTCTCTGTCTGATGGTGTACAATCTCCCCCATAGTAAATTATCTTGGATATAACAGTGCTGTGACTGCACTTAATGCTGCAAACAAATTGTTCTACACCCTAGTTAATTATCACAGCATTAATCAGGCTGCTAAACATTAAACACAGCCTGGGCAAACCTGGAGCTAAAAATACGGGTCTGAGTTTATCTTTGTGACAGGGACATTCAGATTTTTTATGGTTAATATTTTTTTTAAGGTGGGAAAATCCTGGGGACCCTTACCTGAGCAATGAAGTTTGGGTAGAGCACCATTCCCTCTGCAGTGCATGAGGGTCCCAGAATGAAAATCACAGTGCCCAGCACTACCTCCCTATCTCTCACTATTAATAGCCTGGCACGCTCCCAAAATGAGTGGAATTTCTTACTTTGTTGCAATTAAGCTTCACTGGTTGTCTTTTCCTTTGCACATCAGGGAAATCGGCTGACACTGGCTTCCTCAGTTTTACCTTATCTACACTGCTACCTCCTCCCTCTTGCCTCCCGATTTTCTCATCTGGAGTACCTGTGAGAACCAGGGAACCGAGACAATCTCGGAACAGCCCACACTGAGGTCCCCACACCTCTTCCAAAACAAAAGGTAAGAGACAGTCTGTGACTGCCCAGGACAAATCCAAGTGTGGGAGATCACCACCCAGCTGTGAAAGGGCATTTTAGCAGAATTGGCAACCAGGGTATGGCAGTGGCACCATCTGACCCTACTGTCCCCTTCCTCCTGCAGTGCTACAGCTCCGTGGTAAATGCCAATCCCACCAGTGTCACAGGAGCTTCAGCGCTCGGTGGGGGCAAACCCAGGCTGGCGATTGCAACTGGCACATTCCTGATGATGCAGGACAGTTTTTCACCAGTTTCGAGTTGAGCTTCTCTGGCTCGTCAGGTCGAGCCAAGTTGCCCAGGTGCCTGAGCCACATCTCCTCCGCGGGTCCAGCGGCGGTGGGGTCTGCACAGACGCACCTGCATCCTGCACAGCCCCCGCGTGCCCCTCGCTGGGACGTCTCCATTTCAGTATCATTTTATTGAGAGAAAGATAGAATCCGGCTGTGCAGAGAACACAGAGCCCTTTGGCTCAGCAAATCTGAAAAATGCCTATTTCTTGATGATTTACCCAGGCCCGACAAAGCACGGGTTGGAGTGGAGCCGAAAGCAGGTGCCGGCCCCTCTTTGTTTTGAGCCTTTTCCTCGAGGTTTTCCCAGGGCGCATCCAGCCCTGGAGCATCCCTGTCCCCTCGCGCATCCTCCGTTAGGAGTCCTGCTCGCATCTCCCGCCGGGCAGCACCGGGCCAGCACAGGCGGACAGGTGTCAGCCGCAGGACCAAAACAGGGGAGGGGGTGTTATTATTGCTGTAATTAAAACAAAATAATTCGCTTTTATCAGTATAGGAGGGCGCAGCCAGGGCAAAGCGCCGGCTGGGGCGGGTGTTCCCGGCTGTCGGGGTGGGGACGGGGAAGAACGGGCTCGGCGGCCGGGGCGATGGTCGGGGGCTTGTCGGGGGTGAACGCTGCCGTCCACACGGCGGGACACGCGGCGGGACACACGGACACACGGGCGGGCACGGCCGGACGCGCACGGCCGGACACGGCCCCGGCGGGCGGCGCGGCCGGAACCGGAGCGGCCGCGCGTGCGCGCTGTGCGAGGACGGCGCCGCTGCCGGCGGCCCCATGACGGCCGAGCTGCGGGCCCGGGGCGGCGGCGGCGGCGAGGTGAGAGCGCGGGACCTTACGGGGGCGGCGGGAGGAGAGTGCGGGGTCGGCGGGGGGTGCTGGGGCGGGACCGCGGCGAGGCGGGGCCGCGAGGAGGGTGGCGGGCGGCGATCCCCGCGCGGGGCCGGGGCGGCCGCCGGAGAGACCCTCGCACCGCCGCGGCCCCGCTGCGCCCCGAGGCTGCGGCCCGCGGCCGCTCGGGGCCGGTCCGCAGCGCTTCCCCGCTGTGCTGTGCGCGCTCTCGGTGCCCCGGCCCGGCGGGCAGCGGTGCCGGCCGCGCGCGTTTCGTTGGGAATAACGGGCTCGGCTCCGCGCGGTGCGCCGGTACCACGGGAACGGGCTCGGGCGGGCGCTCAGACACCCCCCTCCTCTGCTGGGAGCAGAAACGCGTGCTCCCGCCGCTGAGCAGCATCTCCTGGGGAAACTTAACGAAAACCGCTGCTCCCAAACTTCAGGATTCTGCGTACATTGTCTCTGAAGGGACCCGGACCCGGACGCGAGGCTGTGTCAGTGCTCGGGGGACTGAAGCCCAGACCATCCCGAATTGACACAGGGGTCTGCACTGTTCTGTAGCATCTCTGTGCTCTTAGGACCCGAGAGATGCGTTTCAGAGAGGTCAGAGTTACAGGGTGGGATGGGATGAGGGTGTCAGGCCTTTGGTTGTGCGTTTGAAGTGGCATTGGTGCAGCAACCATGCCCTGGTCTTGTGGGGACAGTGACCAGACAGTGCTCACTGTGTGCATCTTGTGCACATTAATGCAGGACAAGGTTGCTGCCTGCTGCTTCTTCTTGTGATGGATATTGGTTTGTGAAAGCCTTGGCTAGGAACGTGGGCTTTGTTCCTGCCATCGCCTGTGGGTTTCCAGCCCTCTCCGTATCCATTTACCCCCACGATAAAAGGCATGGCTGAGGTGCAGAGGCTGAAGGCCAAGGCTCTGCATGCCTTTTCTGTGCTGCAGCCTTCCTCCTGCTTGTGTGCAGCTATTTCTGGAACCCCCTTGAACTCCTGCTCTGCATTTGCTCCTTTCCCTGTTCACAGTTTCTCATCAAAACAAACTTCTAAGGGTGGTGAGTCACCTCAGAGCAGGGAAAACAGCAAAACCTTTCTGTTCCCATCATTCTTGGCTGACCTTGTAATTTTATCTATAGTACCCTCCTTCCTCTCAGCCTCTTGGTTTTGTACTCCTCTCTTGTTGCTGTAATTTAATACTAATAGGATTTGGGTTTGGGTTGTTATTTTTCCAGCAGATAGGGCTTTGGTTCAGTTTGGGTTTGCAAGTGCAGGCTGTATTAGCAGAGGCATCACACTGGTGTTAATTAGCAGCTACAGAACCTGTTTTATAGCCCCATGGCGCACAACCTCAGAGAGCAATAACCAGACTAGTTATGGCAACAAAACCATGCTCACTCCCCAAAATCTTAACGAATTGAGAGTGGTTCCTAGTGGCTTTTGTGGGCTGCAAGGCAGCCATAACCCTCTTAAAAGTGGTACAGAATAAGCTCTCTGCTGTTAGCACAAACCTTTCCTCAAAAGCTGAATAAAAGCACGCAGAAATCATTGAAATATTAAATGGCAGTTTAGAACAGAGGATCAGTAATTGGCTTTTATGCTTACAACAGCCTTTGTGAGTTCTTTCTTTGCTGGAACAGAAGAACCCCAGAAAATCATGCCCTGTCCTGCCTCAGGTTTCATTATTGTAATGAAGTGTATTAGTAAGGCTGTTTGTGGGTTTTTTTCTCCACTGGAAAAATCTGCCCTGCGGCGTAAGGTGGGGTCAGCCGACATGCACAGCACGCGCTAAGGCAGCAAAATTAGCAACATGATTCAAGTGGTTTGCCTTTGTGAGAGTATGCCTGCCCCCAGCCTCTCAGCCTTGGCTCCTCATCGGGCAGCTCCTCCTGGGGGTGCTCAGGTGTCCCAGTGCATCTTGGCTTTTCTCAGGATAAAAAGAGTGTGGGATGAGCCGAGGGGGTTTGCACACACATATGTGCTCTCTCTTGTGAAAGTTGAGCAACAGTATTTTAAATGGGACTACCATGAATAACTTGACAAGAGAATTGCCACCAAAAATAATCTGGAGGTTTTTTGTTTTAACAGCTGACACAGGTGCATGCTGTGTTTGTGTGTGGAGTAGCATCCATCACTGGTATGGGTGGGGGCCTCAAAAAAGTAGTTGATTCATTACTCACCAGGTGGAATTTGTGCTCTAGTGGCCTGGAAGCATTTTGAATTTTTTCTCAGTGGTGAAAGTAGAATCTTGCGTTTATTTGCCTGCAGCTTTGCTGGTTAAGATTAATTAACAGTGTGATCTCAGGGAACTGGGATTGATTGGTCTGTGCTGACTGCAGGATCCTCAGCAGCCTCTGTAAATCAGGACACACAACACAGACCCAGCAGTTGTTCTTGCTGCAATGTCCTCCCCATACCACATGCAATGCCAGCATTATGGAGCTACACCTCAGTTGTCACCCAGACCGAGCCGTTGGTAGCAGCATCAGCTGAACTGCGGCCGTGAACAGGGTGGTGGGACCCCCAGTGCTGGGAGGCTCCTTGTGGAGAGCTGCTTCTCCTGGTAGTCACTCAGTGAGGGTATTTGTGCTTGTGCAATGTGCAGTGACCACCCTGTGGTAAGCCTAGGCTGCAAAGATTTTTTTAAGTGTGGTAAAGAGAATTTCTGTAATCATTTGTTTAAAGTGGCTGAACTGGCCAAAGGCTGTGAACCATAGCTTGGGGCCTTGAGCAGCTAGTGTCTCACCAGACCTCAAGTGATTGGTGTGGAGTGGGAAGGAGGAGCAATCAAGGCGCCTGGGCCCTTGCTCTGACACCTTATTGTCAGTAAGAAGTGACATGCACAAGTGGCATGTGCCACCACACTGAAAATAGCTCCTGACAGTGCCCTGGGAGCAGGCGGCCGCCTTATATGTCCTGCTGCACATGCTGCTGCCTCGGGGGTGGGGAAGCCCCTTCCCACCACAAGTGCTGCACATCCCACAGCTGACAGTGAGGGTGGCCTGCCCTCCCAGGCCTGCCTGCATTCTCCTGAGGATATGAAGGGTTGAATGTTAGTCTGTGAATTTAGCAGGGAAAAAACCTGAGTGCGATGTTCAAGCTGATGTTGGTATTTGCATTAAGCAAGTGTGACTGGGCTTGTGTGTCAGTCTGGCAGCAGAAAGGAAGGAAAGAAGCAGTGCTCTGCTGTGCCCTCAGCAAGCCTTGCAGAAACAGCTTGATGTCCATCCTGGTCACCTTTTCACATGAGCTTTCTTTATTTCTTGTGCATAGGATTGCCAGGTGCTCTTAAGCCAGATGAAAGAGATCACAGGAATTCAGGATTCAGCATTCCTGCTTGCCGCTCTAAAGGTTTGCTTATATTGCCATTGTTTTGGGGAAAGGGAGCTCTGATTTTGTCCAAAACCTCAGGCAAGTTCAGGCTCCCACCCAGCATAGCACACAGGTGTTTGCTGGTGTGTTTGTCAGCTGATGATGAGCTGGGCCTTGTTAGAATGGCCTGTGAGACCGATCCAGGATCATCCTGGATGCATGAGAGGCAAAGGGTAAATCCTTTGCTGTTCTGCTCCTCACTGGTGCTTTGCTTTCCCCGATCATTCTACCAGGCTGCTGATGGAGATCTCATGGAAGCAGTCACCTTCCTGACAGAGGACCCCACTCCAGAGCCAGTGCAGAGCCCAGCTGCTGCAGAGCCATCTGCCTGGGAAGGGAGCGTGGTGGGCAAGCTCCCACAGGGTAAGCTTCACCTCTGCTCACCCCTACAGCTTCACATGCTTGTGTGAACTCAGAGGGGAGATATTCATCCTCCCTGTTTCTGCCAGCAGTACATCCCTCCAGGTTCTGTTCTGGTGCATATTTTGCCACTGCTGATCACTTAGTAGTGTTTTAATAATGTTTGGAGGTGACACATCACAGTTAAAAAGCTGGTGTTCCTGTCTTGTTATTTCAAGAGCTTTGAACTGTTTTCTTAAGCTCTGAATTTGCCTGTAAGGAGATCTGGGTAGTGGCACAGCTGCATGCTCTGCCCTGTTCTCATCCAGCTCACTTAGTGGCTCTTAGGTTGCTTGGCATGATCTGAACAGGGATTTCTGTTTAAAACCTGAGCTATAACATTTTGCTTGTATTGATTGAAGAGCCGTATTTGTGAAGTGTGATGTTTTCTAGAATTTCCTCTTAAAGACAATGTTTGCTGCTGCTGGTGGAAAACTGATCAGAATGCTGTCTCCACTTCTAGATGTTAGTGCTGTACCTGCCCCTCACAACCAAGACAACCTCTGCACAGACACTGTCAGACCACTGGAATCACCGAAAGCTCCAGCTGCGGAAAGGGATGCAGCTGAAAGGTCAGTGGAACTGTAAGTGGCCCCACGCTTTGGTTTTCCCAGATACCATAAATGGGTTCTGAAGCTGGTAACTGTAGAACTAACATGGATCACCTGCCAGGTGGACACCTACTGGCTGGAGGGGAGTTTGATTCCTGTAGCTCTCTGGGAGGTGTTTTACAGCCCAGTGTTTATCTCTTGTGACAGACCACAGGACGCCCATTCCGCTGAAAACAAAAACCGCTCCAAAAGGAAACGCTGTGAAGTCTGGGGAGAGAACCCCAAACAGAATGACTGGAGAAGAGCGGATGACTGGCCTGTTGGAATGAAAAATATTGGAAATACGTGTTGGTTTAGTGCTGTTATACAGGTAATCTGCAAAAAAGTTATCTTTTTCTAATCTCAAACTTGCTGGGGTCTTGGAGTCAGAATGTTTCTCAGTTAGAAGTAAACATGCAGCAGTTCTGTGAGGGAGTCATTGTATGCAGAATGTGAGCCTGCCCAAACACAGAAACTTCTGGGTTTATGTGATGTGACTGGGCTGTGTTCTGGGCCTGTACAGAAAGAGCCAAAGAGCGGTTAAATAGGCTTTGCTTAAAAATAGCTACAGATACAGAGGATCTGTGTG